GCGTGAGAGGCGTGAGGGGACACGTCTCGCGAGGGGCGTGGCGCCCGCAGAGACTGAGTTTGGCAAATGGTCCAGGAGTTTTTTGGGCGCCAAGCGTGATCTCAGGCGGCGTTACGTCACTCGAGGCAGGACGGTTGCGAGAAACCCGAGCAAGACAGGTCCTCGTGCAGGTTCCCCGACGCCCGCGCTCTCTCATGCCGAGCGTTATCCGGCAAGGCTCTGACGCCATCGACATCATCCATTATCGTGTCAGTGATGGATCGTCGGAAGGTCTTTTCTTATCCAAGTTCAGCCTCAGTGATCTGGTCGGGGCGGGCGGAAGCAAATGGCCGTAAGGTGTGCCCCGATTTTTTTTCTTTCTTTCTTTTTTGGGTGGTCCTGCTCTGGTTATGTCACCGCTTCACGTCACTCGGAACAGCACCTTTGGCTCGCGGTCACGGCGTCCTCGCTCGAGATCCTGATTTATGGCTGACTGTCGGCCACGTTGCTACCCTGTCAGTGTCTTTTCCCGATCGCTTTGTGTGCATTTCCTCTCCTGCAGTTAAGCAGTGTTACATCACTGCATGCTTCTCTCGTGCAGCCCAGCGGCTTTCGCGGCGCCGTGCTTTAAACGCCTCCGAAAGGTCATATAAACATAGCTGGCCGTCCACCGCGTCGCTTGCAGGAACCTTTCTTGTCATTCCTTTTTACCGTCTTCTGCTCGCTCACTCTGCACTTTCATCTTCACTTTTACTCTCTTCTGTTCATCAAGTTTTTATAACGTTTTGCCTTCCTGGAGAACACGTGTTACATAATTGATTTCCTAATATTTCTGTTATATGTTCTTATCACTAACCTCGATCATCAGTCGGGGATCGATGCTTCGGGTCGGCTTCATTGTCGGTCTCGTATTGGGCTCAGAGTCGCGGCCGAAGGGGGGGGGGGGATCACGAGCCAGAGAGGCTGGGTGAGAAGCATTTAATCAAGAAAGTAATAGCCATATGTATGTTTCCTTGTATTTTTTTTTCTTCTTCTTCACTTATATGTATACAATATACTGTATGTTATGTGCCCCTTTGTCTGTCTGTATGTGTTAATGTACCTATGTGTACAAATATATAATGCACATCGACCCAGAGGTGTGTACGCAATTCTTCATGGTGTTGATTAAAACCTCCCCAGGTCATTTCTGCCGATTGAGAGGAGCGTCGCCTCCTTCAGAGTGACGTAACACAGCCTCTCGACGGGACGACTTCCTTGCAAGGGCATCTCGGAGGAACTACTTACTGTGTTTTAGAAGGTGACGTTGCACCAGTCTATGACCTGAGTATTGCATATGTTGCATCGGATAAACCACACTGACCCTATTCTCTGGTTGTTTATGATGCCTTTGAATGTGTTTTATCAGTTTCTAAGATTTATATTGAGGTTAGAGAATAATATTCTTCAATAGATTCGCGTCTTATGTTGAGGATTTTTTTAATGGTTGGCTTTTTATTTTTTTGAATGCGTGTATCGATTCACTGTCGTATTAACGAAAAAAATGGGTATACAAAGTCGAAATGCGGGAGAAGTGAGAATCTGAAATGCAAAAGCAAGATTCATTTGTACTTACATCTTTCCTCTGTATCTGATGGCGTCTCGACACATTTAAACAAATACGCCAACAACTCTGAGCCAGAAACGCACACCGAACGTTTTACAGCCCTGTTCTTATCGCGCGGACTCCCCATCTCCCCGTCGAAGATTACCCCAAAGCCCTAAAAAACTTGCTGGACTCACAACCCTTGCATAATGTAGGGTAATGGCCCCGTAGAAACGAAGACAAAAAAAACGGACAAATAAAAATTTAATGGACATAAACTTAACTGGTGAAAGATGACCATTTCCTTTGAGCTCTTGAGGCGGATAATTGTGTCAAGTCAGTTTTTGTTCTCAAACTTTTTGTTTCGATAACTTTTTGTATTGATAATTGCGGGAAAACTTCTACAGACACGTATCAGAATGTCGCATGCGGCTAAACACTAGACACTGAATTATGTGCATCGATCTTTTTATCTGTCTGCCTATCTATCGTTCTATCTATCCGTGTGCGCGTCTATAAATGTATATGAGCGATAGTGTTTACCAAAGATAGTAAGAGTATATGTTGCAGAAGGCAATTTTTTAGGATGACAATTCCATACTTAATAGATTTTCTACCTCTTACTCTTCTTTACACATTTCTTGGGGTCGTTATATTTCTGGATATCTTTAAAATACTTTCTGGTCTCCACACTATAGATCTGCATATTTGACTGCATAAAACACCTTTTATAAAGTTCTCAAAATTTTCATGGTTCCTTTAGTTCTGCTCTTCTCGTTTTTTCTGTCTGTCTGTCTGTCTGTCTGTCTGTCTGTCTGTCTGTCTCTCTCTCTCTCTCTCTCTCTCTCTCTCTCTCTCTCTCTCTCTCTCTCTCTCTCTCTCCCCCTCCCTCCCTCCCCCTTCCCCTCTCTCTTCCTCTCCCTTCCCCCCCTCTCTCTCTTTCTCTCTCTCCCCTCTCCCCCCGCTCCCTCCCTCCCACCCCTCTCCCTCTCTCTCTTCGCTTCATATTTCTCACGGCTCCCCTTTGGTCTTCTCTCCGCTCCCTTCTCTTCTTCCCGCAACCAGTTCCTCCTTCCTTCTGGCTCGACCTTTCGGAAGAGGAACACAGGCACACAACTCGCACAAAAACCGAATCTCCGTAATGATATCTGGTCCCGGGCATTGCTTTACACGCCCTCACGCCCGAAGAGATGCTTTCAGGGCGAGGAAGATGAAGCGAGAGACAAGGCAGGGAAAGTAGGTTGAGAGGATCAGGACGAAAGGCTTATGCTAGGTCTCTTTTTTATAATCGCATTATGTTTCTGCTTGGAATGCTGTGACGGAGCTGTCGGCCAAGGTTGCTGAGCTGTAAAATTTCCAGATGCTGGAGGCAAAGTCTTTGAATACTTTCACTGTCGGAAAAAAAGCGCCCGTACGCAAGGGAAGTTCACCGGAAGAGCTATTACTACTGCCTTTCCACTCAGTGAGTTTCTGCCAATTTAATGATGGCGATGATCCGGCATTACGTCACGAACTCCCTCGCAAGGGCTAGGACGGCGCTTAATTCGGGTGGCCTTTCCCTGAATTATTGTTCACACGGATCTTCCAGTAACGTTCGCCTAGTAGCGGTTATGTGAAAAAAAAAATCATGAGCCTCTTGTATTGCACTATAGTATGTAATTTCACAAAACATAGTAGTAGTCGTAGTATGAATAGCAATTTAGTTAATTCCATTTGTTGCCATGGTTGTTCTAATGTTTAGTGCGACAGGCTGTCTGTTTGCTGCTAAATTACCCCATATTTACAAGCAACTGCCGGGTTTACTATCCATCATGGAAATTGACTGTTTTTACTGGCATCGAAAATTTCTGACATTGGAGCATCTCAATTGCTGATGGCACACGAGGTTCATAAAATACTATTGAAACATACACACATACGTAATTTTAAAATCATTTGTCCTTGATTTATCATTCGTTTAATGAGTGTGAAAATCCGAAGGCTACATGAAGAGTAAATACATGTTTGATTATTTCTTGACAGTCCAGGAAAAGTTTCTGAAATCGTCACGTGTCATTTGACGATTCACAAAAAGGCTGCGTCGTTTGAATCAGAAGAAAACAGTTTGCTCAGTCTTTTTTGCTTCATAAGTAGGGGTAACGTTCGTTTATCAGTCTTCCATACATATATATATATATATATATATATATATATATATATATATATATATATATATGTATATATGTATGTATATATATGTGTATGTATATATATATATATGTATATGTATATATATATATGTATATATATGTATATATATATATATATATATATATATATATATATATATATATATATATATATATATATATGTTTGTATACACACACACGAATGTGGATTTGTACGTGCGTCTGTGCATGTGTTTGGGATGGGGGGGGGGGGGGAGGCAATGTATAGACTGCATATGATTAAACACAAACACCCTGACATTTATGTTTAAGGCCTATAGGAGGCAATTTCACTTTCTGTTTGAGTCAGGCAAGGTCGGCTTTTAGCTGACCCATATAGACAAAAGCCAAGGTCACCCATATCCTGAGACCCATATATCATGTATATCTCTCCTGATTCTTTATACAACTCGTTATAAATAGCTTCGTTAATCCGAGCATCGCTTTGGCATTCCCAATGTCAGGTTTAGAGGTCGACCAGATAAAAAGGCGGGACGAAAAGAGACGTTTTTTTTAAAACCGGGTCCGTGTTGTTTACAAGAGGCTGCCGGATGTACGATGCCCCTACGCCCAAAACTGCTCACTCATGCGGAACCTCCGTCTTCGCCCATTTCGCTGAAGATGACACGTCGGATCTAGTAAACTAACTCCCCGATTACTTCTCTATGGCTTTCCTTGTATGACGAAAACGGCGAAATGCCTCCTCCCGTGGGCGCCGCCTCGCCCGCCCATTCAAGGGGGTCGCTCGGTCAGCCGGCGATGAGGCAGTAAAACCGGCGTTCGCGTGAAAGGCAACCTGCTCCCAACCGACGACCTCCGCTACCTTGATACACGTATAAAACTGTCGGGGCGGCGGGAACAGGTACGAGTTGTCATACAGCGGGGAAGAGGAGAAGAGGTGGCGCCTACTGGTCCTATCGCGTTCCCGAGACTAAACTTAAGGATAAAACGACCGAAACGAACTTACACAGGGAACTCGTACGACTGTTGAGGCTACACATACCACACTTTGAGATTTTTAAACCATTCACAACATGTCGATTGTGGTGAGGGTCTTAGCTGTTTTTTTTTTTTTATGAAAGACTGAAAACCTAAAACATTCAAACTCTATAGACTTTTATGTTTCTGTTTCTGAACGCAGTGAGAGTGCTCTCGCTGGACACCACATGTATCTTTTCAACTTGTAGATACAAGAGCCTTTTTAACTTTTTTTCTTCTCCTTCTGCAGGTATTCTTCGTCCTCCTGGGCCTGAGCTGCGCCCCCTTCAGCGCCGCCGAGTCCCGCGACGGCTACGAGGGGCCGCTGCTCTCCACCTTTAAGGCCGTCCACCAGGACCTCCGCCAGAACGCCGACGGCACCTACGAGTTCTCCTTCTCCCTCCCGCAGCAGTCGCGCTCCGAGCAGAGGGACGCTGACGGGAAGGTGAGTGCTGCTTCCGTTAGAATGTGTAGCGTCGCTAGCCGTGTGTGTGTGTGTGTGTGTGTGTGTGTGTGTGTGTGTGTGTGTGTGTGTGTGTGTGTGTGTGTGTGTGTGTGTGTGTGTGTGTGTGTGTGTCTTCGTGCGTGCGTGCGCGCATGTATGTGTAGCACGCAACCAATAATACACACGCAGTGTGTCAATTCAAACTATTTATTGCATAATCATTATCAATGAGATGGCTCCTTGAATCCCCCAAACCACTCACGGATTCTTTTGAGAAAACGCGAGTTTCCAGCAAGAAAAGCAAGACCCCGCCCCGAAGACGTCCTCCGACCCCGCCCTTCGAAGGCCCTGAGGTAGTGGAGCCGCCCGATGGGACTCCGGCGGGAGGATGGAGGGCCCAGGGGCGCCGGCGATGTAAGTAAGGCACCGGATGAAGGGCGAGGAGAGGAGAAGGAGAAGAGGCGATGGAAGAAGAAGGAAGAGAAGACGAGAAGGGGAGATGAAACAGGGGAAAGTAAGAGAAGAAGACGAGAAGCTGGGAGAAGACGAGAAGGAAATGAAGAAAGAAAGAAGAGGAAACAGGAAAATCGGAAGAGACGGAGGGCGAGAAAACGAATTGAGAAAAAAAGAGGAAGAGGAAAAGGTCAGGAAGAGCCGAAAGGATCAATCTCGATCAATAAGGTTAAAGCCAATGACGTAAGAATACAGATGCAACGCCTTTTGAAAGCAGAAGGCCGCTGAAACGAGGCCGTTGCATAATAGTTGTTGATGCAACTGTTTAGCACAATTTTAAAGGCACTATATTGACCCCGTTCATTCATTTTGCAAGAATATTACCTCAGCTAGATTGTAAACCTTTTTTCAGACATTGCAGATTCTTGCAAGATGACACCCGTCTTTCATCTCACTGGAACGCATTTGCGATTTTTAGTAGATTTCAGTTACATTTTTTGCGTCATTTTCATGTAGCTTATTTCAGTTCGTCCGTTTGAAATGATTACGGCTTCGTCCTTATAATCCATTCGTGTTTTTTTTCTTCGTTGAAACCAGCCGCCTTTTCTCCATGATCCTCTTCCTATCATCATTCTCTTCTTCACCTTCCCACGTTCTTCTTTGTATCTTCATGATTATCTTTTTTTCTTGTTCTTGTTCTTCACCTTCTGTCTTCTTCTTTTTCTTTTGTTCTTGTCCTCATCTTCATTCCTCTTATTATTATCATTATTCTTCTTTTTCTTCTTCATCCTCTTCATCATCATCCTCACCATCATCACCGGCACTCCCCTTCCTCCTCTGACGCCGCGGCTCCTCCTCCGCCCTTTCCAGGTCACGGGCGCCTTCGCCTTCGTGGACCCCGAGGGCGAGGAAGTGTCCGTCAACTTCGACGCCGACGACGAGGGCTACAAGCCGGAGAGCGACGCCCTGCCCCAGGTCAGTGCCGCCCACGCAACCCCGGGGGACGCTGGGACACACTCACACACGCACGTGGAGACATGCGTGTACATAGACAGCGAATGTTTACATACACAGATACACATATACTTACACACACACAAAGGCACACATACATAGAAGCACACACACACACACACACACACACACACACACACACACACACACACACACACACACACACACACACACACACACATACACACACACACACACACACACACACACACACACACATACACACACACACACACACACACATACACATACACACACACACACACACACACACACACACACACACACACACACACACACACAGCCACGTTATCAGAGAGAATTTGGAGCCACTTTAGCACATTATTGTCTTAGACGCTTTAAAACCCCTAGTTTCTTTCTTAATTGGCTTCCACCAACTGATTTTTATTTTTATTTTTCAATTGCTTTCTCTTTCAATTGCCCCCTGCCCCCCTCACTGCCCCCCTCATTACCCCCCTCACTGCCCCCCTCATTGCCCCCCTCACTGCCCCCCTCATTGCCCCCCTCACTGCCCCCCTCACTGCCCCCCTCACTGCCCCCGCCTCCCAATGCCCCCGTGACCCTCCCCTGCCCCCAGGCCCCCGAGGACACCGACGACGTCCAGAGCGCCCGCGACGAGTTCCTCAAGTACTACGAGGAGACGGTGAAGTACCTCGAGGCTCTGGCGTCCGACGAGGAGGACGATGACGACGATTCATCTTCCTCGGAGGAAGACGACTACGATGACTCCAGCTCCGAGGAAGATTCCGATGAGGATTCCGATGAAGAGGATTCCGACGAAGAAGAGGAGGAGGACGACGACGAGGAGGAGGAGGAGGAGCGGCCCTTTCGATTCGGAAGGAAATTCGACGGCCGCGTCGGGCGCCGCGTCAACGAGCCCTCGCGAGTCGCCCCGAAGGCCCCCCGCGGCAGCGCCTCCTTCCCCCCCGTCCTTCCCTCCTTCGGCCGCAGGATCTCTTCTTCCTACGACCAGTAACGCCCCCTCCGGCAGCAGCAGTGACGTGGCAGTACAAAGAGGAGACTCCCTCCTCACGCTCAACGATCACTCCACTGCACTGCGTTGCTTCCCTCGCTGTACAACTTCAACGATGCTTCTACGAGTTAGATTACCGAGGAATTTAGATATGTATCTCATCACGGTGTGAGGTACACATCTTCATTCACTATTTATTGTTAGTATAGAGCTTATAGATATTTATATCTCATATCGCCATTACGAAATATCACCTCACCTTTGCGACGTGATCCAGTGGGTCCGCTTCGCACACTCCATTTGTGAACCATTGTGTCCTGCATCTGTGTAGAAATCTTTCACTATATTTCACTGCCTATTTTATCGACTGCATATGAGGGCAGAGCCTTCAGTATTCTTAGGAAATAAATAAATATTCAA